CTGCCCACATCACAGCACTCCACAGGGCTGTGCTCCGACCTTGGCAAGACCTTTCCAAACAGCTGACATGGGAGGCCAACAATGAAACTGCCAGCAAACCCTCCGCGGCCCTGCCCCACTCGGAAATCTCTGGAGCAACAGCAGCTGACACGAGATCTGGTGCCATCTGGCCTCAATGGGTATCATGACACAAATACACAAGCCAGTTTGAGCATCAGAAGGGCACGTACTGTGGGGCTCGCTCGCACAGGGAAGTCGTGAGTGCAGCCCACAAAACACTCCAGAGCACCGGCCAGCTCCATGAGAACCACCTTCATTCGGTTTTCCTCAGCAAGACTACCTGTCACAAGCCCACCTACAGGAGCAGTGGTGCCCACTGGGCATGACACTGCACCTCACCACACCGAGCCCAGTCTTTAGTAATTAACCACTAATCGATGCCACCAAGTAAGTGAGCAGCTCTTGGAAAGGGGATTCCTCCTAAATGTTAGATACTTTAAGCACCATATATCCCTTCACCTCGTTAAGATAATTCACACAAAAATCACTGGCTAAATGCAAAAGAAAGTATCACTTTTTATTAGCCTGTGCAAGCAACATCATTTGACTCCCAATAAACAGTGTTTCTGGTTAACCCTGTTGGAAATCTCAGCTGAACCCTGAGGCCAAAAGTGGCTTCTTCCCTTCCTCAGAAGTTCTAGGCTTTGTTACATTTTGTGTACTTGACTCTCAAGTTTGTTTGCTGAGAGAGATGAAAATACAGCTTCCTAAATTCAAAAAAATATACCAAAAGCAAGTAAAATAACCCTCCAGTGCAAAAGAGACAGATAGAGAGATAGACAGACAGATAAAGATAATATAAAGCATAAAAAGCAAAAGTTTGAAATAAACTCTGTGGGAAACTAGAGAAAAGGCACTCTCATATATTGCTGGTAAGACTGCAAAATGGCATTTGGAAACACTTAAGTGCATTTATCCCTGGATCAAGCAATCCCAAGTCTAGAAATCTATTTTAAAGATAAACTAGCAATAAAACAAAAGCACTGGATGCTGTTCATTATAGTCCTATCCGTAATAGCTAAAGACTAGAAAAACCCACATGTCCACCTAGGGAACGGGTTTAATAAACAAGAGTACATCCACACAAAGGAGAACTTGAAAGCTATAAGAGAGCAATGAAATATATTGCCCGATATTACTAAATAATAGTTAGGATATGTTGCTAAGTGAAGCTGACAAAAGTTTATATAATATGCTACCAATTTCTTAAGAAGTGACAGGGAAGGTGCATTTATTTGAATATGTATATTTTATTTGAATATATTTAGAAAATGAAAGGATGAGCCATAAAATTAAAAAAAAAAAAAAAAAGATTGCCTCAATAAATTTAATTATTTAAAAAAAAGATTGACCCCAGTTCATACTCTGGTAACAAACTCCTCCCAGGGTGAAAGTCCTCTTGAGCCAGTGCTTCTCAAACTATAATGTGAGCATGAATCTCCAGAAAGTTCATTCAACTACAGATTCTGATGCAGGAGAGGTGAGACCAGAGATTCTGCATTTCTCACAAGCTTCCAGGTGATATCAATGCTGCTGGTCTGTGGACCACACTTTAACTAGCAAGGCCAAGGACACTAGAGAGATCACTAGATATGTAAGACCGAGAATTGTTCATTCAGATTGAACAAACCCTCATGACAGGATACATTATGTTGGCCTGTGCAAATTAAAGGATTGGCCCCTTGACAACAGTGTGTCACTGCCCTCAGAGTTGAAAGCTGAGCAGCCGTCATTCCACAGTTCACCTCTTTGGCCTCCAGTGGAAGCCTGAAGCCAGGCCTGGAATCAACTCCAGCTCAAGGGGGTAAACAAAACTCTTTACAACAGAAACCCCTGCCCTGAGGGTAGAGTCTTCAGGAGGCCCATAAAGCCACAAAGGCCCATCCACCCACCATCCATCCATCCATCCATCCATCCATCCATCCATCCATCCATCCTTCCATCCATCCATCTATCCATCCATCCATCCATCCATCCATCCATCCATCCATCCATCCATCCTTCCATCCATCCATCCATCCATCCATCCATCCATCCATCCATCCATCCATCCATCCATCCTTCCATCCATCCATCCATCCATCCATCCATCCACGAACAGCAACTTCTCTTCCAAAGTCCATGGAAATGACTCAGCCAGAAAGGAAGTCGATGCTGATTTCTTGTGATTCTGCTGACATTCCATGACTCTGAGTGGCGCCACCTAACGACTGCGGAGAGTGGCGAGCTGCCTGAGCTCCAGCAGGGGTGCTGCATTTGTGGAGTGATTTCCCAGCAGCAGTAAGAAGTGGCCAGGACAGGAAGCCAAGTATTGAAGGATGGGAAATGGCTGGCTTTTATATTCAACGACTTTATGAAAATTTCCCAAAGAATTGGCACTCCTTCTTTGCATACTGAAAAAAAAAAGCTTATAAATATTTTCACAGATGCCTTCTTCGCCCGCAGATGCCTTCAGGAATAACACATCACTTAACAGACTAGTACACGCCAACACCTTCAGATACTTGGCTTGGGGGCTTTCCAAGAGGAAGTAACCACATGTGCATTGAGAGCCTATTATAAGTTGTTAACATGTACTGAGCACTTACTATGTGCATTTCATACATTCATGATTTCAAGTAACCCTCACAACAGCCCCATGAGGTGGGAAACATTATTAGCCCCACTTTACAGATGATGAATCTCAGGCAAAGGAGGCTGGATAATTTGTCCAAGGATACACGCGAGTGACTGACTATAAGCAGGGATGTCAATCCCAGCAGTCAGTGTCCCCCACCCCACATCTCCCTCTTGACCACCATGCTGGGATCTCCTCTATGCCTGACACGCATATATTAATACCGCTCAGCCCCAGGGTCTCCCAGCGGCGGGAACTTGAAGAAACATGGCAGCCTGATCACATGCATTGCTCCTCACCTTCCTCACCGAGCTCCGTTTCCTCTCAGTAGGACATGATGAAGCCTTAGGGGCACCGGGGACTGGGCTGGAAGGTTGGCTCCTACCTAGGTCCCACCATTCTTATGTAAAGATGGCTGTAGGGGGAGCAGGTTTGGTAGGAAAATCGGGGGTTCAGTTTTGGACAGCTTGAATTTAAAGCCTCATGGACATCCTGGGGGGGGGGGTCAAAGAACAAGTGAAAATTCTCTTCTGGGAGGGTACAGAGCTTTGTGATGGAATATAAGGGCGATTCTATCAAAGGAGCCATACCATCCGTGGGGGAGTCGCCCACACTGCCCCGATCCACACGAGAGCAAGAGCTGGGCAATGCTTGGTCAGTCCAGCCAGGCAGGGAAAACAACACAGCAGGAACAGAACCCCCGGAATATGTCTCGGTCATTTGTTTTGGCAAAACTAGTTTCATTTTAATTATTTAAAACGTTTCATAATATGCTAGGAAATGGGATGCTGTGCACTTAGCAAAATAATGAAGTTGTTATATAAAAAATCTGACATATTATTAAATTTTAAGGGTGAAATAAGTGAGTTGCTTTTCTTTGAAGATTATCGACTGGGAGATTAGCAAAGCCTCCTCCATAATCGTCTAGCAAGGAGAAGTGGAGGTAGGTGGAGGTGGGAAAGTTTGGTCCAAACTCCCTCACCTCCCGTTCCTGGGAACCCCTGGTTGCCATGGCAGCTGTGTTACTATGTGGCCACTCAGGTATAGGCGGGACTTGAAAACAATAAGCATCTCTCTACACTCCCAGCTTTAGGTTTGAAAATAATTTTCAGCACTTTTTCTCCATTTTTTTCAAACATTAACTTAGAGGATGATGTGCTGCAAGAACAATATAAATGCAAATGGGCTGAAAAATAATTTTTGCCAAACTTCCCTATACAGGAAGCAGATTTTAGGGACGAGTTTCTGAGTTGGAACATCTGTAGGAGGGCTCCATAGGCAATACAGCCCACAGGCCAAATCTGGCCGGCCACCTGTATCTGTATGTCTTACGAGCTAAGAATCATTTTTATATTATTTATTTATTTAACCATTTTTAAAATTTTATTAAATTTATTGGAATGACATTGGTTAATAACATTATATAGGTTTCAAGTGTACAATTCTATAATACATCATCTGTATATTGCATTGTGTGTCCACCACCCAAAGTCAAGTCTCCTTCCTTCACCATATATTATTTTTAAATGCATGGGGCAGAATCAAAAGGAGAATAATATTTTGTGATACCTGAAAGCTATATGAAATTCAAATTTCAGTCTGAAAGTAATGCTTTATTGAAGCACAGCCATGCTCATTCACTTACTGTCTACGGCTGCTCTTGTGTTACAACAGCAGAGTCGAGTAGCTGTGACAAAAACCATACGGTCCACAGAGCCGAAGATTTGCCGTCTAGCCCTTTACAGAGGGGATTTAGCAACCCCTGGCCAGGAACCCGAGCTGTACAAGAGAAGTCAGGCTCGGAGACCGGCTGTCTCTTCTCTGCCAAGAAGCCTGCACCAGGTGCTGTCTCAGTCTGTTTGGGGCTGACATAACCACGCACCAGAGGCTGTGCAGCTTATAAATAGAAATTTATAATTCGCATTTCTGGAGACTGGGAAGTCCAAGATTAAGGTGCCAGTAGGATCCCCTTGTAACGAAGGCCCTCCTTCTGGTTCGTCGCCACTGCCTTCTCACCGTGTCCTCCCGTGGTGACCGGGACACGGGAACGCTGCGGGGACTCTTACCCGGCACTCATACCGAGCTTGAGGGCTCTGCTCTCATGGTTTAAGCACCTCCCAGAGGCCTCACTTACCAGCACAGCACCTTTGGGTGCTAGGATTTCAACATGTGAATTCTGCTGCAGATTCAGGCCTTTGAATTCAGGCCTATGCACTGTTGCATGCAGGAAAACAGCTGCTGGAGAAGCATCGGGTGACGCGGTGACACTGCCAGTCTGTCCTAACACCGCCCTGTCCTAGGGCTCAGGTCGCATGCTACTCACCCCCTCGCGCGTTGCATCTTGGTCCTGGCCATCGCACTGTTGAAAATTGTTGGTTCTGGCAACATGTCTGGAACTGCACCGGTGACCGTCCTTGTATCTGAAAATCAATGCACAGCCTTTATTGACTTCGCCAGCACTCCAGCATCTTCAAGGCAACATCAAGGGCAATCAGAAAACAGCAGCCAATCCACCTTTGCCACAAGGTAATATCACATTAATTAGAGAGGAACTCAGCGATGCCGTGCGTGTTAAGGAGATTTATTCCAAATGACAAGATTATTTACACTTTTAATATGCATGAGGAATTTCAGGACCAAACTGCTCTCAAAAAGCGTTATTTAAACAGAGCACAGTTGTTTAAAAGATTGGCTTTTTATACTGGAAAACTCAGGGAGAAATGAGTGCATGGAGAAGCAATCATTCTTGGGGAGCCTTTGGCCAGTTTCTTTCAGCAGAATATTTGCAGAATATTCAGCAGTGGATATTTGCTTCTGATGACAGGGATTTTTGCTAATAAACTTAGTTTTCCCTTTACCTTAACCCCACACCTGAGCATTAGCTTTTCTGCAGTGGAAAACTAGATGCTGACCAGGAGGTCATCTGCAGCCTTGAACTTCAGCAGCATGGAGCAGAAGGCCAAGGTTGGGTTCAGAAGGAAAAGACTTGTCAATGAAAGCTGCGGTGTTACGAAAGCTGCTGAGTGAGCCACGGCTTTTACAGAGATGCCCTGGAGGCTTGTACAAAACATGTTGGAAATGAAGGGAAAGAAACAGTCCACCGACTGAAACAACACTACTTTCCATTGAGAAGCAAAAGCTGGCCCCTGATCCGGGGCTGAGGGTAATCCAGAGCTGAGTCTGTCCATGGGTGCTCGCTGGAGCTGGGGCAGAGTCCTCCTGTGAGCTCCTTAGATCTCCCACAAGGTGCCTCATTAGGAAAAAAATTTAACACCCTAATATTCATTTATAAATTGTATCCATGTCATTGTTACATCAGAGAAGGGACTCAAGCTTGGAAATTCCCACTCTTTTCCCAACAGATCTCATATAACACATGACTGTTTGATTTAGGGACCACATGAGGAAGTGTGAGAGCCAAACTCCACGTTACATTTAGTAAATCAATCAATCTATCTATCTATCATCTATCTATCTATCATCTATCAATCAATCATCTGATGCCATGCAAGAAAATACAGTAAAGTACACTGTAACGCAATACAATATAATTATTGGATGTAACTTCTCTCAGGAAGTCCTCCTTGATTCCCCAGGGCTGGGGTAGTTGGTCCTCCCTTGTACTCGCATAGCACCAACAACAGTACTATTCACCCTGTAATGATGCAATTACTATTGATTTTTCTCTTTCTTCCACCAGACTGTAAGCTCCAGAGGGCAGAACCAGTTCTATCTAATTCCTTGCTGTAATAAGTGCCCAGTGCACACCAGTGCTCTCTGACCAAGAGACAACTCTACATGCTGCTCATTTTCTTAAATTTATGTTTAAATTTATAAATAAATGATAAATTTATTTTAATAATTTTTCTTTTATTTTAAAATAAAAATTTAAATAAATTATAAATTACTGTTTATATATTTAATATAAATTTGTGAATTTATACTTATATTTCTTAGATTATTTAAAATTTAACAAATTAAATGCAAATTCCAATCCCACTCTGAACTTCTTGCTTTCATAGATATCACTGGGGTGAATACCATCTCCCCAAGCTCTTTGTCGGAATCTCTGATCTTTTCTCAGCCTAGATCCTTAGATGCGGAATCACTGGATCAACAGGTAGAGGGCACGTTGCAGTTAGTTAAATGAACAAGCCCTCCTTCCTGGTGCATCAGCAGCTTCGCCCTCACGTTAACACAGCAGTACCAACGCCTGATTCCTGTCACTCCTAGAGGTGGCCCTTCCACGCCCCGAGAGGAAACCTGCCCTAGCATCGCTGTCATCAGACGCAGCTTCAGCATTTCCCCGCCCAGGGCTCTGGCGGGGACACCAGCTTCTCTTCAGGGAAGGCCCTGTGAGCGGGGGAGGGAGGAGGCATGGGGTCCAGCTCATGTTTATGTTGGTTGCTTTTTATAATCATCTTTCCTGGAACCTGAGATGTTATTAGAACAACAACCAACCACACGGTGCCAAGCAACATGCAAGCTCGAAATCAGTTCTGCCAGGACTGAAAGGAAGGTGCTGCCTTCCCGTCTCTCCCAGAGAGAGCCAGCAGGTCCTGAAGGCTTATGCAAATAAAGGCCAAAGCAATTTCCAGGAGCTGCGGCTGATTTTCGTTTGGCCACTGTTCCCCTCAGTAAGACCCTCAGTATTGCTGGGAAAGATGCTAAACCTTGAGCCCAAGAGTGGAGAACAGGGCAAACAGAATTTCTAGTAATAGGGTTGGAAAAGCTTGGTGCACAGAGCAATTTGTTTTCAGTATTTCTCACGGCCACACCCTTTTCCCTCTCCATCCCACCTTCCCACACCAATAGCAGTTGCTTTTATGTGAAGAAAATGGACAGCACATTTAGCAATCACGATACAAACAGGGGCGAGAATCACAGGCTTCACTATCAGGTCACTGAAGCCCGAGTGTGTTCAAGACCATGGTTTCTCAGACTTCAATGTGATACGAATCACCCAGGGAGTCGGCCCATGCTGCCACCTTGGACCTGCCAGCCCAGGGAACTTTTAAAACGCAGGTTCTGATTTAGTGGGTGTGGGTGGGACCCGAGAGTCTGTATTTCTAATAAGCTCACAGGTGATACCAATGCTGCTGGTCCTGGGACATTTTAAGTGGCAAGACTCTAGACAGGCCACCTACATAACTCGTGGGGCCCAGAGCTACATGACAATGCAGGGCCCCTTGTTCAAAAAGCAAGAGAAAAGCTGATTCTTTCTTCTACATCTCTCTCTGGACCTGCCACGGAGTTTTTATTGGACATTTAAGGTCATTTTCCCCCAGGGACAGACCCTCACGGGCCCAAGGGCCCCACCTAACCCAGACCGTCTCCCAGCTGTGCCCAGAGCCCACGGGAATGGAGGGCAGCCGTGCTAAACAGGAGTGGTGAGAGAAGACATCTTTGCCACGTTCCTAATCTGAGGGAAAAACATTCAGTCTTACACCACTAAGTATGAATTAGCTGTAGATATTTTCAAAGATGCCCTTTATCGGGTTTAGGAAGTTCTTTTCTATTCCTAGTTTGTTGAATGTTTTTGTCAAGAAAGGGTGTTAGGTTTTGTCAAATATTTTTTCTGCAACAATTGAGATGTCATCTGGTTTTTGTCCCTAATTCTATTCATATGGCGTGCCACACTAATTGACTTTCTGACGCTGGACCACCCTTGCATTCCTGGAATAAATCCCATTTGGTCATGTTGCTGGATTTGGTTTACCAGCAGCTTGCTGAGGATCTTTGCACATATAATCATATGCAAAATGGACATTGGTCTGTACTTTTGTTATTTTTCTTGTNTTTTCTGACGCCGGACCACCCTTGCATTCCTGGAATAAATCCCATTTGGTTATGTTGCTGGATTTGGTTTACCAGCAGCTTGCTGAGGATCTTTGCACATTAATCATATGCAAAATGGACATTGGTCTGTACTTTTGTTATTTTTCTTGTGACGTCTTTGTCTGATTACGGTATCAAAGAATGGCCTCGTAGAATGAGTGTGGTAGTGTTCTCCCCTGTTCCGCCTTCTGGAAGAGTCTGTAAATGACTAGTATTAATTCTTCTTTGAATATTTGGTTGAATTCACTANTGTCTTTGATTACGGTATCAAAGAATGGCCTCGTAGAATGAGTGTGGTAGTGTTCTCCCCTGTTCCGCCTTCTGGAAGAGTCTGTAAATGACTAGTATTAATTCTTCTTTGAATATTTGGTTGAATTCACTAGTGAAGCAACTTGGGCTTGGGTTTTTGTTTTGTTTTTCGCTGGCAGTTTTTAAATTACTATTTCAATCTACTATTTAAATTTCTCTTTCTTCTTTAGCTTCCATCCTTGCGTCTTTCTAGAACTATGTCCATCTAATCTCAGTTATCGAACTTGCTGGCATACTGTTGTTCTTGCTATGCCCTCACAATCCTTTTCATTTCTCTAAGGTTGATAGTAATGTCTGCCTTTCACGCCGGATGTATTGAGTCTTCTTTCTTGTTGGTCAGCGTGGCTAAAGATGGATCAGCTTTGTTGATCTTTTCAAAGAACCGATTTTTGGTCTCATTGATGTCCTCTATTGTTACTTAATTGGCTTCCACTCTGGACTTTATTATTTCCTCCCTTCTGCTTGCTCTGGGTTTACTTTGCGCATCTTTTTTCTAGTTTCTCAAGGTAAGGCATATATTTCAGATGTTCAAAAGACGGGAGTTAAAATCAAAGGTAATGTAAGTGGTGGCTGTGGTCCTTAACCCATAAAGAGCTTGTGACTGATCGGGGTAGACAGGCCCTCTCCCTAGATGGTCACCTGGAGCACTACCAAGTACACAGACCTGAGACACGGTGCTAGGTACGGGGCATGCAACGGGGCATACGAGGGTCTGGGGAAAAGCACTGGCCTTAAAGTTAGGCAACCACAGTCACGGCTCCGCTTCTACTCTCCGCAGCTGCATGCCCCTCAGGTCACCTCCCTGGGCCTCAGTTTCCTCATTTTACATTTAAGTGGTTTCATTAGACGGAAGGCCTTCTCTCATTTCAACCGTTCTGTAATCTGGCATAAGACACGTCCCTGGACCTCCAGGGGGATAAGATTCTCTTGGGAAGGCAACACTTACACTGACAAAGATAAAGAGCAATCCAAGGGACCACATGTTAGGAAGCAAATGGCCGGGACCAGCAAGAAATGCTCCAGGCATCATAGAACATCAGGCAAAATCATCCTGAGCTCTCTTTCCCCACCTGTGAATTTTAGGACGATGAGGATTATAATACGTGACACTACCCCATGGGGACGTTTTGACAATGAGATGAAAACAAAATGATATGAAAAGACATTAAGCAGCTAGAAGTGGTGTTTCTAAAGAACACAGAGCACAGCTCATAACAGCAACGCTGTCAGGATCCCTCCTACTCCTACGGCCTCGCACCGCAGAGCTGTTTTC